TGCACTCAGGTGAAGAGGCTTAACACCTATTAATGTGTCCAACTGGAATGCAAATTTGACACATGAGCAGGCATGCAGTGAATTAATGAGATCAGCATCTTGATCACGTAGGGAATGTCTGCAAGCTGTCTTAGTCAAGCTGTTCCAGAAGCAAGATCATGTAGCCGTACATACCACTATGATAGTGTTCAGAAGATAGAAATGTGGAAAGAAAGTTGGAGGTCATTCTGGCAATCCTTGTGGGCAAAGAGGAGATCAGCAAAGAAAAATAGCATTTTCTCATTATATGCCTATACATTGCTGGTGAAATGATACTAGAATACTGTGTTGAAAGGAATATTTAAAACAAATCTGAAGGAAAACTACAAAACTTATTACAGATTGCTTAATCATCCTAAAAGCTTGATCTATGTAAGTGTTCAAAGATTAAAGGCCCCTTGATCACAATTTATAAATGCCAAATCTAGATGTTGAAGCTATAATGAAATTCAATGTCTAAGAGATGAAGCTAAACTAATTCAGACCATAAATAATGCTCTCATTAGTTATCTGTGTGCATATTAACTGCTGAAATAATCTATCAAAGATTGTCCATCATTAAAAAGAATTCAATTAATATTGAATTTTCATTTGATAGACATGCTTTAATTCAACAGCATCTACTGGGCTTGAAGCAAAGTAATTCATGGATGTCCAGTGACCTATGTTACAGAAAAGGCTGGAGTAAATAATTGTAAAGCCAATATTAATCAGTGAGTTCTTTAATTTATCCACAACCTCATAGCTTGGTTATATGCTGTAAGGTTTATGTCTTGATTTGTTTAGCCTAATCACAATATTAAGATATCCTTTGCTGAAGATATCTCCTTTCTCCTGCAGCCAGCAACAATCATAAAACTGACCAATAGAACATATCCTGCCCACTAAATCAAATTGCCACCTCGTCAACAAGCCTTTGTGGAGATCACTCTGGGATCAGGTAAGGACACTTTCAACAGCACTTTTGTCCAAAATTATTTCAGAGAGGTGACATTATTTGGAACTGTAACTATATCCTACTAAGAGACTTCCTGTGACATTTTGATTAGTTGTGCATCTTTTAAAATGCGTTGCAGCACAGCCTAAGAACAACATGCTCATTTGTCAAGATAATATATCTGAGCATGCCTCTGTTAAGCTCACAGTCAGCCATTTCTGAAGCCTAATTGTTACTCTGTCAGTTTTTGGTTGCATGTGATTCACTTAACCCTTCTGTGTCTGTGTCGAATGACAATAATAATCTGCTTTCAGAGGACTTGGGAGCATTAGGTAGCACTTTGCAGTGCTCTGTAATCTGAAGTTCTGTGACTGGTTCCCCATCTCAGCATTTCACACAGAACAGCTCAGTGGCTTGTCTTTCACTTGTATCATTGATGACTGACCTAGATGATGCGTGTCAAGAACCATCTAAGCCAATTTGGCCTTAATCTGAGAAAGAGACATTTCTTGGCAGTAAAGATATATCCTGTTCTTATACACCAAATGAAAAACTGAACCTCTGGGAACTGGACACAAGTATTGGCGTGGCTCATCACAAATATCATCATTCCATAATGTTTTTATAAGCTACTCTCAGCAGTAAAAATTCACACATCTTCATTATAGTTTGCCATTTCTCTGTCATTACTTGTTTGCTAGCAGTTACTGTCTACTGGGCACATAGAAGTAAAAATAACTGCATTTTTAAGGAGAAAATTGTTTCAGGTATTGCTAGTTTTAACCAAATAATACCAAATGCAAAGTGCTTTTGGTGCAATGTGTCCTTTCCTTCTGTCATTTATAGGCGTGTCACAAAATGGGCTTTACTTATGGTCTACAGCATACAGGTTAGCTCAAAGATTTCTGTGTCATAAAGCACTTACATTCATCTTTTCTACAATTAAGGGCTGACATTTTATGATTTTTTTGCAGATGAAGTTGTCCGAATTTTTTAATGATAACTTCTTATTTGCCCACAGAGCACTCTGAAAGCTCTTTTCTTTATTCAAATCCAACATTCTTCTAAAGACACTGGTCTTGATCCTTCTGTAACTTCTACTATGCAGCAGCACTGCTCTAATTAGTACTTGGACTTATTCCTGACTGTTACTCCGGATGATGTTGGAGGTACTTTTTCATTTCTACTCCTCAGGTTTGTTAAAGAAAAATTGCCTTCTATCACAGACCATTAGTTTACAGGTCATAATAACTCAAGTCACAAAAAAATATATTTAATAGACTGTACTTAATAAGTGATTTGTTGCTTAAGGACAAAATACTCACTTCTTTTCTAATGCTTCCAGCTACCAATCCCATCTCTGTAGTAAATGCAATGTAGAATGGAGTAAAATAAGAAGTGTGCATCTGGATCCTTATAGTTGGGCTTCAGGCAAAGTTAGTATTTTATTTCTTATTGCTTTTGCAAAATGTTGCTGAGGATCAGCATTCCTTAGAAATTCCTTAGAAATCTGTCATTCTTACATACTTACAATATTTTTTTTTCCTTGAATTTATCCTCTTCCGCAGTAGTAATGATTAATCAGATTCTTTTGGCACGCAGTTTTAAATCCAGTGACTTCAGCAGAATGAAACTATAACCTTAGCAAATGGGAATCTATTGCCTTGTCAATGCAGAGTCTCTTTATACGTGCTGAGGGCTTGAATGCTCAGCAAACTCTTCTAAAATGATTTCATGAGCACACCTGCTATTTACTTGGCAGTCAGTTTGATTTCTGGTGGTGTAGGTAAAAGTGGAAATTTAGGTTTCATTTTATAGTGAAAAGTGAGTTCACTCCTCCTGAAAGACCTTAAGGGAGCTTTCATTCTCCACAATCATTTCAACCTTTTCTGTTCCTGAACTGGAAGTACATTTCCTGAGGGATCTTTTATTTGTCCCATAGGAAACATGGAATTGCCCTGGATCAAATCAAAATGAGAATTAGTTGCTACCTAAAAATCTAGTTTCTGTGATTAGCCTATCAGCTGGAGAGGATGGAGCAGCAGAGATCTTGTACCTTGCCTCCACAAAAGCTGTCTCCCTAACACATGGTATTTAGCTCATTAATTGTCTTCTGCCAATAGTGTGTTCTTTTTTTTCAAACATCTATTTCCTTGGGATTCCTTGAGATATATGATAAGCTTGATAGAGAGGGGTTTTGTGTTTCTTTTCCAAATAACCCATGTACAATTACATAGAACGACAGAATGGCTGAGGTAGGAAGGGTCCCCTGGAGATCAGCTCATTCCTCTCTCCTGCTTACCTGGGTTGCCAACTGGAGCAGGTTGCTGTTGATTAGGACCACTAATTTCTGTAGAAAATCAGGCTGAATTCATACTTAGTGAAGCTGTGCAAATGCAAAGATGGTGTCCCATAAGAAGTTAATCATTAACTTGAGGCCTGCTTTATCTCTCTTTTTGTCTCTATCAGTTTAGAATTGCAAATGACACAAAATATATTTAAATTCTCCTCGTGCTCTATTTGCAAATGCCTTAGTCTTCTGAAATAAAAGGATGCAACAAGCAGTAACGAAAACCCATCTCAGGTATCCTGTGTGCATTTAGTAAGCAGTCAAAGTGTTGTGCTGTAGCATCACCATTTTCCAAGAAAAGAGAGCAGGCATGTAATTGTAGCACCACTTAGCTTGACCAAGAACTGGGTCCTTCCATAGCCTGCCAGTCACCAGTGGGGCTCTGTGTGCTGCAGCCTAATCCTTTGAATGGAAGGAAGCACACGTGGTTACAGCCTTAGTCCACCAAAGAATTACTTTTCACTATGAGGAACTCCACTGAAATCTTGGTTGTGATTTTTTTTTTTGGAAAAGCCCATTAGTGCTTCTGTTAGTGATGGCCTGTCAGCCATAACTAAACACAAAATCAAACTGTTCTGAGAAGCAAAGCAAAGGAAACTTGTTTATTCTTTTCTTTTTTATTCTACCACACGTTTATCTCATACTTCCTTAATATTTTATCCCTTTCTGTCTTTCATGCTGTATTAACAATTAAAAGACAGAATTACTGCTGTTTGGGTTTGGGTTTGAAGAGTTTATTTTTTTGCAAATAGTTAAAATCTTCTTATTCTAAAGAAATTTAAATATACTATATATAAAAGGATCTCCATCTTTTGCAAGTCTAGAATAACCTGCCATGAAAATTCACACTCACCTTCTCACACCTCTCACATTTCTCTCAACCACTTCTAGCAACATCTTTTCTAATATTTTTTTTAAAAAATTCCTTTTCTCTTTAACTTGTTCTCCATTTTTTATTAATTGTTGCTCTACTAAACTTGCGTATCTGCTGTATTCTCAAGGATAGATACTTGATACTCTTGTCATTATTGCACAGTACTGCAAATTGTGAAATACCTGAGTGTCTCTCCGCTTTGATGAATTTGAAAATAAGGAAGCAGCTTGTCATCTTATATTTCCTTATCACTTATGGACTGTTTATTGAAAGAAGTCACCTGAACTGTTGATAACCTTGTCAGTGTCATAGATTTGGTGCCATTTTACTGAGAATCCCAAGAGTAAATTTATTAGATTACTGACTGAGGCTATGGAAATATCTGTGGCTTCCACCCATCATTGACAAACAGTGACTGTAAGGTCCTTGACTTCATCTCAGATAGTTTCCACAGAAACTCTCTGAAGCTGCTTTACACATACAACCAAAAGATGTAGTAATCTTGGATCAAAGCCTTGGCAGAGACCCATCCACTCTCTGCTTTGTTTTTAACCTGGCAAAGATCATTTTGCCTCCTAGTGAAGCACCTCATTTCTGTCAGGTGAAACTATTTGGAACTAAACAAAACTCCAGAATGATAAGTGTATGGACCATACGGCAGACATAGTATTTTACTTTGCTTCCTGAAGAGGTGCTGGAGGAAGGTACCTGCATGAGAAATGGGAAAGAAGACCTAGAGATTCTGGATAAACCTGGAACACCAGTTATACCAGATTGATGACTACAGCTGTGAAGCAAGAACATAAATACTAATGCAGAATAACTTGTTCCAGTTAACATTGTTAAGACATGTGGATTAGAGAGAGAGAGGAATGAAAAGGTTCAGCTGGGAGCTAAGCTTATAACATCATGCTTGTTACCTGAAACCGACCAGAAGCAACCAAGGAACTGGACATAGACGGTATTATTCTTGTCTAATATTTCAGTGGGGAAAATACACTGTTGTAGTGCTGCCAGTAGTGCTACTGAACTCTAACAGGTGAAAATCCTCAGAGCAGAGCATAAATAGTTACTGATTCTAATGGCTGGGAGAAAGGGGAAGAAAAAAAATGCATGATGAAATATATTTAAGTAATGGTTAAAAAGACATGTTTATAGTAAACAAGCTGTGAAACAGAAATAGATAAGAATGCTTGGGAGTGACACGTGAACTTAAGCAGATAAAGAACAAATGAAGAAGGAATGCATGTTATGTATTGCAGGTTAATCACTGGACTAAAGGGAGAGAAAAGCTGAGATTCAGAGAAACTCTTGAGAGAAAAGGTTGGACTAAACAGGAGAGAGCTTGAGAGCATCTTTTATCAAAATTGAACTAGATGAGGATTAGAACAACAACAACCAAAAGTTGGCTGTATTCCCTTGCATGGAAGTAAAAGAATGAGAAGGGAGGAAAGGCTGAAGGAATAATTGCCCAAAGGCTGTACTTGGTGAGGTTCAATTAAGCAGTGGACAAGGAATTGCCAGATGTCATAGGGTCAATATAAGTAAGATCCTGAACCCTGTTGACTTACAGTTGAACTTTTTCAATGAGACAGGGATATGTGCAACTACTCCACAGTCACTGTATACCTTCAGCAATTTCATAAAATATTTATAAGCAAAAAGCACAATGAGTAACTCTCAAGAGGGATTCAAGAAAAGGGTAGATGACAAACTGAGTAACATTGTTAATGGACATGGCGTTGATGGATTGATGGTTGGACTTGATGATCTTAGAGGCCTTCTCCATCCTAAGTGTTTCTGTGATTCTATGATGGTGAAAAAAATCTCTAGCATCTTTTGTACTATCTGAATTATCTGGAAAGACCTAGGCAAGCAGAAGCAGCCTTTTCATTGCTACTATTTTTTTCCCAAAACTGTTAGTTCAAAATCTGGATGCCCTGCAAATCTGATTTTTTAAAATGTTGAGGCTATTAGGTTCTTCAAAAAGACAACTGCTAATAGTATTATCTGTTCTGGATCATAAGGTGTTAAAGTTGATTAACATATAAAAATGAGTAAAGTAGATATAGAGTAAAATAGTAAAAGAATTTGCAGAAAATCGTGCTGATTTACAAAACTGATGAAAGCAGATCAGCGTGGGCAGATGAACATATTATGCAATGTAAAGCCTTTCTGAATCCTTTTCACACGTGAAAGCCTTGTAACACAGGTTTTTTGAAAGAAGCTGTATGGTTCCTGTTAGCCAAGAGGCAAAATGCCTTAAACAAGCATGTTCAAAGTGGTCCTTGGAATAATCGTAGTTTGCATGTAGGAATACTGCATAAGTACTTGTCGTACAAGAATGGGGAGAACTTGGAGGGTACGTGTAAAATATTAACTAAGTGAGATAATGCAGTCGGTATTGCCACAGAGTTCCTTTAGACAGGGTGTAGGTAGTACAGCTCCCACAGATTTGAATGCAGAGTACAGATTAACACATGGTAAAACAACAAATTTTGATTTTAAAAAAGAATTCAAAATGCACGCTACTGAAAATATACAATTATGTGACAGATCAGCACAAGCTGTTTGTGTATGCACAGGTCTGTGTCTGCTAACATGCAGGCTTTCTGAGGGAGTGGGAGAGAGGACTAAAACCTGTCGGTGGGGTCTTGACTTTTCAAGTATTATAGACTTTTCATCCTTTGTTGAGAAGATTGTCAGCTGATGTTTTATTTATACTGATAGGATTTCCTTCAACACATTATACTACTGGCTGTAGGTCGTTGGCATTAAATTATTGGTTGTTGGAATTAAAAATAAGGGAATTTAAGGTATAACTTCAGTTCCTTTAAATGCTACTCAGAGAGATTGTCTTTTTCTCTCTGTTCAGTTATTAATTCATCTCTCAGAGAGTCAGGGTTGAGATTCTAAGGCACCACTAAAAACAGTATATAAAGGAAAAAGAAACTTTGTCCAGGACTCATCTATACTGATGGACACTACAGCTCTTGAGTGCTGCCCCAGATGGACTGGCATATTTTCAAACATTTCATTCATATTCATGCTGCAGACTTAAATGGGACTGTCAGAGGAGGGCACAAGTCATGTTGAGAGTGCAAGAGACATAGTACACTCTCCCCCACAGACCTGATAACAAATTTTTGCATCCTCATCAGACAGGATTTTGCTTCTCAAAGAGTGGTCTCATGTGAACATGTGTAAAGAAGGAACAGTACATGAAGTCTTTTCTGCTTCTTAGTATATCTGTATTGATGATATTTCTGTGCTATTTTTAATGGGTCACTACCTAAAATATCCTGCACAACATTCCTGCAGCAAGGGACATCTGACCATAAGCAAAACAAACTTTTTCCGTAATGTTCCTTTATTATGGCTATTAGACAGATTTTATTTTCTCCACATTTCAAGGCCTCACTGTTCACAATGCACACTAATGGTAGCCACACAGCTGTGTGCAAAAAAACCTGCCTTTTGGACTCCAGAACTGTTGCAGCGGTCTGGGACAACATTCGTGTCCCATGAGACAACTGAGACTTCTGCTGCAGGAACAATCTTGTCTTTGCTGGTGTTGTTCCAGCAGAACTGAAGGTAGGGATGCAAGATGTCGATGGGGTCTACCTGGACCAGTAAAGCCTTTGACACCATCCCCCACAACAGTGGAGAAGCTGGCTGCCCATGGTTTGGATGGGCGTATGCTCTGCTGGGCGAAATGCTGGCTGAATGGCTGGGCCCAAAGAGTTGTGGTCAATGGAGTTAAATCCAGTTGGCGGCCAGTCACGAGCTGTGTCCCCAGGACTCAGGTACTGGGGCGGCTTCTGTTCAACATTTTTGTTAATGATCTTGATGAGGGGACTGAGTGCACCCTCAGTAAGTTTGCATACAACACCAAGTTGGGAGGCAGTGTTGATCTGCCAGAAGGTAGAGAGGCACTACAGAGGAACTGGATAGACTGAATTGATGGACCAAGGTTAACTGTATGAGTTGCAATAGGGCCAAATGTCAGGTCTTGCATTTTGGTCACAACAACCCCAGGCAACCCTACAGGCTTGGGGAGGAGTGGCTGGAAAGCAACCTGATGGAAAGGGATCTTGGTGTACTGACGCACAGCTGGCTGAATATGAGCCAGCAGTGTGTCCAGGTGGCCAAGATGTCCAATGGCATCCTGGCTTGTATCAGGAATGGTGTGGTGAGCAGCACTAGGGAAGTCATCCTGCTCATGTATTCAGCACTGGTGAGGCCCAACCTCGAGTACTGTGTTCAGTTTTGGGCACCTCAGTACAGAAAGGACACTGAGGTGCTGGAGCAGATCCAAAGAAGGGCAACAAGTCTTGAGGGGCTTGGAGAATATGCCCTATGAGGAGAGACAGAAGGAACTGGGGCTGTTTAGTCTGGAGAAAGGGAGATGGAGGGGAGACTTCATTACTCTCTTCCAGTATCTGAAAGGTGCTTACATCAAGAGTGGGGTTGGTCTCTTCTCACTGGTAACAGGTGACAGGATGAGGGGAAATGGCCTCAAGTTGCGCCAGGGCAAGTTTAGGTTGGATATCAGGAAATACTTCTTTACAGAAAGGGTTGTTAAGCACTGGAATAGTCTCTCTAGGGAGGTGGTTGAGTCACCATCCCTGGATGTGTTTGAAAGCTGTTTGGATGTGGTGCTCAGGGACATGATTTAGCAGAGGGTTGTTAGAGTTAGGGTAGTATGGTTAGGTTGTGGTTGGACTCCATGATCTTTAAGTTCTTTTCCACCCTAAGCAATTATATGATTCTATGATTCCTTACCCCTACAACTGGACCTATAAGGAGCATCTCCTAAGCCTCTGCATTTAAAGCATTTAAATGCCAATGAGAGGGCTCCATCTGTCTCTGAAAGTACAGGGAGTAGGAGAAGGAGATGGAGTTGTAGGGAATGAAGAAGAAAAACTGATAAAACTAAAGACATTCTTAACCACTAGTGACTACCTGTATATTAATAGATAAAACAAAGGAGCTATAAATTAATTATTGCATACAGTATTTAATTGTTAGCACGTTGCCTGGAAGAAGTTTGGCCCCTGCCAACTGGTACTTCTCTAGACTGTTCCTACTTTGGGGCATTGGTCCTATTTTGAACAGGACCTAAAAATGACCTTCAGAAGGTAGCATTTCTATGGATGTTTTGGGGGATAGCTAATGCGAAAAGCCTATTCCATAGGCAGTTTGGATGCAGCTACCCCATTCCTGAGCAACTGGCTGCTCCCTCAATGCATCTTGGAATATTCTATCTGTTTGTATAGATGTAGCCATTCAGAAAACAAAACACAAATGTTGTGAAATGCAAAAAAAAAAAAAAAGCTGTTTAGTTCTTGACAACAGGCAAGCACTACTCAATTAGTATAAAGAAGCTCTTGAACACGAGGGGCAGTTCATCCAAAGTGTAGGTGCAGAACTCCTCTGTACCTGGATGTGCTTTTCGCTCTTCCAGTGGTAGTATTCAGATCTCCAAAAGTTGCCCAAAACCAAAAATAGCATAGTTGGGAAATTGAGCTTTGAACATAGCATGATGTAGAATATAACCAATGTAACAGTTGGCTGTGAAAGAGAAAACTGAACATGATGTAAAATGGAAGATGAGCCTCGCTGCAGGAAGAAGCTATTTTGAAATGCTTGACCTTATTGTAATTACCATGATTAGACAGCTATTAAAACGTTGTCACTAAGTATGGTTGTAGCATCAGTAGATTCAGAAAGTAACACTGAACTATTACATCATGTCTATGGCTGATAGTAATTAAAAAATTAGTTAACACTTGAGAAGGCAAGAAAGGCAGATGGGAAGGAAAAAAACGAGAAAGACAACATAGTATCTGTGATCTTATTTTTACAGTATGATCACAGTGCCTTACATGTAAGTAAAACTCAAATTTCCTGCCTCAAGCTGTTAGAAATTAAAGGAATTCCTTAAAGAGAGTTCTGGGAAAAATAAAATCTGGGGAAGTTAAAACACCTACCCTCAGTGCATCAGCTCCAGCAGCACATTTAGTTGACCAAGGATAAATGGTTAATGTAATCTTTTTTGATTTCAGCAAAGCTTTCAGTACTATTTCTTGATAAAATGTCCAGTGTACAGCTAGACAAGAACAGGCTGGCAGCCAGTCATAAGTAGGGTCCTCAAGGTCCAATTTTAGGGCCAATTGTCCACAGTGTTTTTATAAATGACCAGGAGTTGAATTCACACTAAGTTTGCAGATGGCACTAGACTGGGAGGAGCTTTTGACTCCCTTGAGGGCAGAACGGCCTTACAGAGAGAACTCAACAATTTAAAGGTCTGAGCAATTCAGCAACTGCACAAAGTTTAATAAGAGCAAGTGCCAGATTCTGCACCTGGGGTGGTGCAATTCTGGCTACATGTACAGAATGGGGAATGAGAGGCTGGAGAATAGCCCCGATGGAAAGGGATCTGGGAGTTCTCGTGGACAGCAAGTTCAATCTCAGTCAGTAGTGCCTGAGCAACCCAAAGGGCCAACCATGCCCTGGGATGCTCCAGGCCCAGCATGGCTGCCAGGTGAGGGGAGGGGTTGTCCCCCTCCGCTCTGATGCTGTGCAGAGCTGAGCCCTGCTCTTTGGTGACAGCAACAGGACCAAGGGAACTGCATGGAGCTGCTCCAGGGGAGGATCAAGTGGGTGTTAGGAAAAAGTTCTGTGTATGTCAGCACATGTCATTAGGATCTCTGTCACCTGATCGTGAGCATCTGTACAAAAGAACAGTTTTGGCTGAAATCCCTCTCACTGCTGAGTCTGTGCCTCTTGGATGGAAACCAGGTTACTTCTAGAAATGTCACAGGTATGCTCCAACACGTGACTCACCCAAATGGCACATATACACTGTCTGGGTGGGTGACTTCAGTCAAACTGTGGAATCCCTTGGGGCTGTCTATAGAGGAACTCAGAGCAGCCCTACTGGCAGCTTGCAGTGCCTCACACCGAGCATAAAAGTAACTTAGGATGGCTGACCGTGTCCAAACTCCTGATGTAATTTCACTTTCCACGTTGCTCAGGGAGTCCAAAGGCAACAGAGTTATCATTTACCAATTAAAAGAAAACACTTGAACCAAAACAAAAACAAAAAAAAAACAAAAAACAAAAAACCCTTCTCCCTTGATCTGCCTCTGCTGTAGCAGTGCCCAGATCTCTCCGAGTCACCTCTCAGGCTGGTAGCTGAACATAGGTCAGACCTTGAGGATGTTCACGTCCCAAGCCCGGTCTTTCACCACAAGCAGGCCTGAGTTTAGGTCTCAGCTGTTCTACACCCAATGCTCTGTGTGAGGGAAGTTGTGGCTTGCTTTTTACTTTCCATCAATTTTTGGTGGAATCACGTGGCCGGCTGTGGGATTGAGCTTTTCAGGGGCAAAACCATCAGCCAGCTCAGTCACTTGAATAGGCACCAAACTAAAACCTGGGCATGAGTTTGGAGCAGTGCTGAGGAAATCCCCAGTGTGGTTTCCCTGGGACTCACTGGGATGACACAACTGCTCTTCACACCAGCACAGAGAGAATCATGTAGCAGCACTCCCATGACATGCATTTTGTAATCTGTTGTCTTTATTAGACACTGTGTAATTATAGGTAAGGGCAGGTGCTGTGACATCACTGCTACCTTTTTTTCTGTTTTTCCAACAGGCACCTATTAAACGTTACTAACTTTCCAGTGGTGCTGATGAGTCTGTTGAGTGAAAAAAAAATATCTCGTAAACAAGATCTTTTCCAACTTAAATCGGAAATATATATATATATCTATACATATATACACAACAGATCCTCCTGGTTTTCTGCTATGGCAAATCTGGGAGGATGGCCTGCTGTTCCTAGAGACCTTTCTGATTCCAACCCGATCAGCCTAACGCCCCTTGCAGATGCCTTCCTGCCAGCCCCTCCCTCAAGAGCCCCCTTCCTCCCGCCGCGGTGGGCACGGCCGTTACCCCCTCTGCGCGCAGTGGTATGGCCGCGCCCTCTTGCAGCTGCAAGGCGGTTCGTACCATTGGGTTAGAGCGCAGAGGGGAGAGGGTGTGTCGTGCGCATGCGCGCTGGATGCACGGTGCCGGCGGAGCGGTGGGTGGCTGTTGCGAGAGTCGCGGCGGGCCAGGCCGGGCTGGGCACTCCCGGGAGGCCTGTGGGGGCGGCTCGCCGCCCGAGCAGCCCCGGAGCCGGGGAGGGCCGGGCCGCCATCGCAGGCAGCGCTGCCAGCAAGGAACGGCGGGGCTGAGCCAGGTCTGTGCGCCGGGGCTGCGTTCGGGGCTCGGCGGGGAGCGGGTGGCTGTCAGTACTTGCGCTCGCGTGAGGCCGGGGCTCTCGGGGCCTGCCGTGCCCTGCCAGTGCCCTCGGCTTGGTGCCCTTCGTCGCGTAGAGGGAGGAGCTTTGGCTCCACTTTCGGGTCCGTTGTGTCAGGTGTAGGACTGCCAGGTGTTGTCGGCAGCCCTGCTCTGTGGGCTGGGGGGCACTGAGGAGCGAGGGCCGGGGCGCGGGACGGAATGGCTGAGGTGGGAAGGGAGCTTTGCGCACTGCCTGGTCCCACTGCTCTGCTCATCAGGGTCACGCAGAGCGTGTTGCTGAGGGTTAGGTCCGGGCAGCTTTTGAAGATCTCTAAGAAAGGATGCTTCCCAACCTCTGTGGGTAGCCTGTGCCAGTGCTTAGTCACCATCACAGTAAATAAGTTTTTCTTCATGTTCAAATGGAACAGATCCCTACGGTGCCAAAGGCTTGGGTCTGTTGTGTCGTGGTGGAGGTTGTTGCATGGTGGAGGCAAACAGGAACATCTCACTGGGGTTTCTGTATTCCCTTGCGACAATGGCTTTCTTATCCAGCTCCTGTCTGTGGCCTTTTACAGACAGTGTAGAGTTTGGTGGCCAGGCTGATACAGCCTAAATCATGCATAAAATGACCTGGTACTCAAATATTTAAACATTACCCAGTTCTTTCCACCCCACGAAGTCATGATCTTTAACTGCTGCGTGTTCAGGAAGTTTCAGCTAACTTGAGGCACTGACTGCCAGACTGTTCGGTTAATTATGCTGATGTTGTTAATCATACATATTAATGCTGCTTGTCTGCATTCCGTACTCCTGTTGCATTTTTGGAATTGGATTTCTGTTGGAAAGTCTTGTAATGTTTGGAAACTGATTGCTAAGTCTTGTTTTGAGATATGATCCTGAAAGCTTGTTTTTGTGTTAGTGGTCCCATGTACTAGGATAAGTTTTTCTCTTTTCATATCCCAAGTGTGTATGTGAGGTTCTGACTTGCACCCAAAGGCATAAGCAGTGGTGGAAAATCAGTGAGGGAAAAGCAGAAGAGTAAAAGAATAATGGTTAGTGACAGCACACTGCTGTTTAAATGTGAATTTTGTGAGTAAGAAAACAGGATTTTCTTCTTGTGTTTTCCCTTCCTCTTTCTTGCCTTCCTTCTTTGCTCTCTTCCACTTTTGCTTTAGTACATTACTAAAACAAAGTTTACTTTACTATAATACTAGTAAAGAATTTGCAGGCCAATTGCTAATCCTAAACGCATTGCTTAAATTGAGGGTTTTTTTTGTTCATCTACACCTGTCTTTGGGATGATTGTGCTCAATGACAGCAGAGCTGATGTTGTAACTGCAATGAAAGTGAGTTCTGCATAGTTTAGGAAGTGTTGTACACAGGTGACTTTTTAAAAAGACTCACTTTATTTTTTTCTTTTTGTTCCAGATGGGAAAAAAAAGAGTTAATGGTTGCTAGTCCACATAATAGTGGAGGCTGAGTGGGCATGAAGGAGCGTATATAGTGTGAGTGAGAAGTCTCAAACCCCCTGCAAGGCTTTTTTCTATTAAAGAGAAAAAAAATAAATAAAAAGGAAGAAGACATGAATCCTACAAATCAAGATCAAGCATTTGGGACCATTTTTGACTGGGACTATCTCTTATGGGAAGTTCGTTTGACATTTTTAGCTGCTGGTTTTTTAATCTACCTGGGAGTATTTCTTCTGTCTCACTGTTTATCCTCCCGGATGAGTACCACTTATCGTGCCTTGTATGCAAAGGAGAAGGTGTTTTGGAATATGGCAGTCACACGTGGTGCGTTTGGACTTCAGAGCTGTGTTGCTGGGTTATGGGCTTTGCTCATAGATCCCGTTTTTCATGCTGACAAGGTGCATTCACAGCAAAAGTGGAGCTGGTTTAATTGTTTAATAGCTGCTGGATTTTTCTTGCTTGAAAATGTAGCTGTTCATATGTCCAACATCGTTTTTAGAACGTTTGATGTGTTCCTCGTGGTTCATCACTTACTTGCTTTTGGTGGCTTAGCTGGTCTAGTAATCAATGTAAAATCTGGACATTACCTGCCTTTGATGGGAATGTTGCTGGAGATGAGTACTCCTTCCACCTGCATTTCCTGGATGCTTCTAAAGGTAAGAATTTGAGGCTTCACAAACTATGTTTCTAACAGTTTTCATGCCTCTCACTTCTCTGTAAATACTGTGCGCAGTTTGCCTGGATAGTTTGAAGCAAGGCTGAGCTTGTCTAACTGACATCTATGTTACTGTGTTACCCACTTGTACAGAAACATGACCCTGACAGTTCTGCAGGTAGGCTTCTGTGTGGTGCTGTGTGCATATGGCTTGAGACAGCTTATGTCCTGCCTGAGTTTAGAATGATGTGTGCATGTGCTATATCATAGCTCTACGTGAAAAAATGCCTGAGGGGATGTGTATGCAAAGACTGGGGAATTTGCTTTAGTTCTGGGGATTCTTTACTTTCTTATCTTGAATTAACAATCACACTTCTGCGTATTTCTGTTCTTGTTTTTCTAGGCTGGCTGTGCAAATACCTTTTTCTGGAAGGCAAATCAGTGGGTGATGATCCACCTGTTTCACTGCCGCATGATTCTCACTTACCACATGTGGTGGGTGTGTATTTTCAACTGGAATTCTGTGGTAGAAAACCTGGGACTTCTCCATTTTATTGTTTTATTCTCTGGATTATTTGCTGTTACATTAATACTTAACCCATACTGGACATACAAAAAAACTCAGCAGCTCCTCAGCCCAACTGACTGGAACTTCGAAAATAAAGCGACAGAAAATGGAAAGTTAAATGGTGAAACATCCCAAAAGAAGAGGATGTAACACCAGAACATCTGTTTCCTAGTGTGATATTGGACTACAGCAGAAGAATACGCTGCAAACTAAGTGGCCCATGAAATCAAAGCTTCTGCAAGAAGCTCGTTGATGCGGACATTCCTTGCTGTTTGTATTCAGAATGCATCAGTGGTATTTAAAAATGTTGTCTGTATTTCATATGTACATATTCATAAATCTTCAGCATCTTAGCAAAGAATTATGCCAATGGTTTTGTCTGTACTTAGATAGTATTTCATGGTTTAGCAATGACATGCTCTAATGATATCCTTCATCCTAATGCTTCAAAGTGGCTTTATTGCTAACTTGTCCACTAATCTTAGCTTGAATTGAATTTAGCTTTATTCTCATTTCACGTATGTTGGAGATACTGCTACTGAAAATAACATTGAGAAGATTAAGATCAAATAGGTATGGTGTGGATACCTGTGTGCTATTAAATATTTCCCGCTGGATGAATTGGTCAAGTGGCAGAATGTAGTCATGGCTCAGTTTGTGGGTCTTTCCTTAAGTGCACTTGATGAAAAGGAAGAGACAGTTAAGTGTTTGCTAGCAAAAGAAATTGTAGTACCCAGGTTGCCTTCAGTATGAGACTTCATATCCACAGCAAACATGCACATGGTGAGGAGTGGGAACACCTGCTCATTGTGCTGCTGGTCATGCTAGGTAATCATATTGGTCCTTTCTGGACTTGAAATCTATGAAAGACAAGAGTCAATTATAAGTTTGTTGGGTGATTGGTAAGATTATCTTCTTTGTAGGTCACAAATGAATAAATGTGCAATTAGTTCCACTCGTGCTCCTGTTATACTTCCTCTTATTTTTGGAAAACCTCCTAGTTACAGAGCGTTTTAGAATATGAGGTGACTCATAGAATCATAAAATGGCCTGGGTTGAAAAGGACCTCAAATATCATCTAGTTTCAACCCCCGTGCTATGTGCAGCGTCACCAACACCAGACCAGGCTGCCCAGAGCCACATCCAGCCTGGCCTTGAATGCCTCCAGGGATGGGGCACTCATCTTTGGAGAAAAGCTTATTGTCACCTCTTTTAGAAGTTCTGTTATTCCTGTAGTGTTTTTATTTCTGCTTTGCAGAACGCAGAAGGTGAGGTTATCAATTCTTTGCACTTTATCTAGCATATTTTTAAGTTTTTAATTGACCTCGGGAACAGAGAGTGTGTTTGGATAGTGGTTTGGCAAGTTGTGGAGGTTTTTCTCCCGCTTGTACTTGTTCTTGGATGCAGTTTGGGGCAGCAGATCAGTGTATAAAGATCATGATAAAAGAGAGTGACACCTATTGGCAGGAGAGTGACAAAGATACCTAATTAATGCTGATATACTATTGAGATAAAAAACATGTCATTTGAAATTTCATCGTATGCTGTGATATGACACAGTTTTATTTACCAAAGTAATAAGACCAGAAAAGCTAAAGCTGTGAATAGCTTCAGGTTGAGGCATTTGTACCAGGCTTTGTGTCCTGCCCTGTGTGGGAGCATAGTGTTTAAAATGGCAGAGGAGTGGGGAGAGGAGATTACTGTCTTGGTGCAAACAAGCCCATTCCATTACACCTGGTGGGAATGTCTTTTGTTTGGATGAGGCTGAGGAGGTTACTGTGTTCCCTAATTTCCTAATAAGATCTTTTGCATCTCTTCCTATGTATATAATGTACAATACCTAAAAGCACCTGTTAACCTCAATGCTGCTGGACCTGCTAGAACAGGAGATCTATGCAATATTAGAAATAATAGTATTCACTTTATATTCCTTTTGGCTTCAAGGGCGAGAGGGTTTTACAGTCCATATAGAAATAGTACAGAGCATCAAAATAGACAACATTTCTTCAGTGCTATTACACAGAGCCTCTATTTTGTTCACTCCAGGTTCTAGTGTCTAATTACTCTTACAGTTCAGTGTTTCCCCCACATAAAGACTAGCTACAGTTGGCTTAGAGATTTTGTTAATTTGAAACAAATCCCAGACCTTTTGGGCCTCTTTTGTAAGGCCTCATCTGCAGTCCAAGAAAGAAATTTGCTATCAGCATCATTAGGGATAGGTCACAGGTTGTGCTTCTGCCATGATTTGGAAAACTTTCGCATGATGTTTTAGTATGATTTTGCTAGCCTAGGTGACTGTGCAGTACTTTGTCTTTTGCTTTCTTCTTGGGGTGGGTGTATTTGAGGAGTGCAGTTTGTGTCTCCTCTTTTTTTTTTCTTTTTAAGATAATTGGTTTGGGATATGGTTTTTGTGAGTGCATGTGTGTTTCTGCTGTTCTTTTAAAAAAAAACAACAAAATGTCTGATCTGAGGGTTGGACCCTATCTAAGCATCTAGTTCTGTGTTCATACATTCCTAAATCAGAGTTTGTTTTCCTCTGTTTGTGTCATGTTTTTTTCAAAACCTGTTGTCACTTTCCAAAACCTGCCTAAGGTGTTCCTGTCTGCAGTACTGGTCGTGATCCAGCAGCAGTCACAATACTCCAGCGGTGACTTTGGCTAATAGTTTTTAGCACTTACTGCTGAGTTTTCTTTTGTTAAATGCCTGTGTCCAGATTTTTTTTTCCCTGATAGCACTGATCAGCTATTGATGTTGTACAGTTACAAAAGACGCTTTTAATAACCTCAGGGAAATTGCACTTAAAGTGAATTTAGAAGTATTAATGAATTAATAAATTCAACTCTGTTCCTCATACAATGTAGTATTTGTTGAATGCATCTTTATGCTGAGTGCATGAATAAAAGTATTTTATTGAGCAGTTGTATACCCTGAGTTTCATTTGCTGGTTAAAGTAATGCCTCTATTTGTTGTTGTTGTTTTTACTTGCTGCTTGTAGCTGATTGTTTTTGTAGTGAATGTTTTAAAAGATGACTTACTTTGAAATAATCTCCCTGACTGAGCAGGAGTGGTGTTGTGTCTGTGGAAGTAGCTCTAAAACCTTGTGTGCTACTGTACCTTCATCACCATTTAACATTGGCAAGTTCAGTTATATGGTTAAGCAGAAGAAGCTGCACCATGTATGTGAGTATGTACTAAAAAGTATCACTTGAAATGACACATCTGGCTTGTGTATTTGAAGCGTGATCTCTTTTTGCTTTAGGCTGTAACTATGAAGACACTTGACTTGGTGTCAAGAGATGCTTCATGGTTTAGTATGAGCCACCGTCTTTTTTTTTTTTTTTTTTTTCCCTTTCAAGAAACTGTTCAGTTGCTAAACAGCAAAATAACAATTACAGGCATTGAATGTGCCCATCTTCAGTAGTGCTCTGCTGAACTTATTTCCTGATCCTTTTAGCATTAGTGAGTTAAAGGAAAACAGCATAACTGCTGGTATTTCAACTATTCTGAAAAGAATGCACTGTGCAAGCAACCGGCTGGCATGGTTTTGGTAGCTGCCTCTAGAGTCAAGTCCGTAAGATTAATTGAAGCAGAAGAAGAGATGTTCAAGTATAAAGCTCCACTGGCTGTGGAATGTGTGTGGGTACAGACTGGGAGCAGAACAATACATAACAGTACTTGTGTGAATAAAGTCCTTTTTGTAAATAATCTGTAAAAGAAACTTTGCTGATGTTTTGCTATTCAGATGTTTTCAATTAATAGATAAATGTATTTTACTTTGTAGTTCTTGCCATAAACCCAGAAATAAATTAGCATGCACTTACTTTGACAGTGTTACTCAGCAATTACAATCTTTTGATCCCGTGTCATGGCACTGGTTGATAAGTGAAAGTCTCTAATTAAGCAAATTATGCCTGTTGCTCTAGTTAGCAGCCCCCAGATGGATTTCCAGTGTTGGAAGAGACATTTCAGACTCCCATGGACTAATTAGTGTGTTCTGCTAGTGGTAGTGTCACAGAAACAAGTGTTCTCACAGTATGTTGTGCCTTCCTGTTCTCGCTAAGCAAAACAGTACTGAGTGAGGAGGAATGACAAAGGTAATGACACAGCGAGCATAGCAACATTCGAGGTGGCAGAGACAAGCCAATATGAAAGGAATGGGGTCTGCTCACAGGTGCACAAAGAAGCAAGCAAACAAATGGACAGTGCAGTCATCTGCTGCTGTTAGTGTGTGTGTTATGGTGAGTTCTGAGTCCTTTACAGGTATGACTTGAGCAGAGGGAGCTGATGCTGGATTCATCTGATACTGTACACATTACTTCTGAGCTGAAATGCTTGTTTCTTAATGTAATTCTCTTTTTAGCTTCCTCTGCTGCTTTGGATATTTAGTTCATGTTAAACTGACACTGCTTTCACCGGAAAAGTGACATTTACAGATTTACGAGTATGCGCATGATTTTAACACTGGTAATTGGTTGTAGCTGCTCCAGGTGCTCATCAGGGCCTGTTTTGTTGTTGTTGTTGTTGTTTTTAATATTCTTGATGCGGACCCACAAAAGTCTGCCAGAAACACTTCGCTTTGTGTACACTTTGTCACCAAAACTGTGTTTGCTAAAGTTGAAGTATGGGTCTTGTATTAAATGAGGGGGAAAAATGCTAGATAAAGCCCTAGTGATTATGTGTTTATTCTTGTTTGTGTATAAGAGGGTTGACTTTCCTGCATTTCTGGACTGTGCAGTTCTGTTGGCAGAATCTTTTAAGAGTAAATCAAGGTGATAACTGCAATGTCTTGAAGAGTGAAGCCACACAGGCAGTCTGTAAAAGTATGGTGAAGTGGCTTGTGTAGAGTAGGCAAGGAAAATCTAATGAGCTTGGTCAGCTTGTGTAAAGGTTGCATTTACAAGGAGAAAGAATATCCTTTGAAAGCAGCAGATTTGCCTAGGAGTCTTAAGAAATGTGAAAAAAATGAAGATGTTTTAGGATGAGATTGCTGCTGGGCACTGAATGGGAAATTGTCCGATGTTTTAACTCTTCTTTTTGCCTCAGCAGCATATTGTGTTAAGTATTGTTGTGACAGTGGCTGAGACTGAGTCTGAGGACCCTTTTTAGGACATCAAACCTCCTAAGGCCAAAGGGATCTGTAGTGTGTTCTAATTCATAGTGACTTATTCTTGTTCTGTTGTTCACTTTTTTTTTTTTTTTTTTTTTTTTTTTTTTCCCCTTTTCTGGAGGCCATTTCTTTCCTTCCTTGCTACTTTATCTACAAAGGATAATTACTGCTAGTAGAACTTTTTTTTTTTTTTTAAAGTCCCTAGATATGAAACTATTCTGTATTTCTGAAGATTCTGTCAAATGGGTGATGTCAGATTATCTAGGTTACCCATCTTTGATATATCTAGGGTGGGTTTTTTGTTGTTGTTTTTCCCACAATAGGACTTCAGGAAAGACATTATAAGAAAAATTGTTAATAATCTTAACTGCAATTTGGGAGATGCTGTACTGGTAAATTAAAATTTTAATATATCTTTATCAAAGTATCGACTACGTAAGCCTTAGCACCTAATGAATCCTATTTAAGTAAAAAAAAAAAAAAAAAAAAGTGCTATGGTATACTGCTTGCTAAGGTTTACTTAGATAATACTTCAATCCAGGTTTAAAAAAAATCTGATTTAGAATCAAGAGTCCTTGAAAGTGTTCATGAAGGACGTGCTATGGCTGGTAGAACATTACGAAGTTATAACTCTTAACTGTCAGGGTAAGTATTGGTGTGCTCAGAACTACGTGTTCCTGTACCCTAGTGCTGGTACTTAAGAGAGATGTGGAAGACTGGGCAGCAGTGGGCATCATATCAGAAAATGAATGAGCAATGCTGTTATTAAACCAAATGCTATTTTAATGTAATACTTTGCATTTCAGAAATGTTTTTTTCTCATATATATTATAGAATATCCCAAGTAGGAAAGGACCCGTTAGGATCATCAAGTCTGACTTGTGGCTCCACACAGCACCACACAAGAGTTTGTTACCTTCTATGCAATACCTTTATGTATTTAAAGGGTGTTATCATGCATCTCTTTCACTCTATCTATGCTAAACCAAGCTATTTT